AGATCCCAGGCTCTGTGGACTGGGATTTCGGGGAGACCCTGGGAAGCCGCGTATGTTTGCTTATCAAGAAAGCGTTAATGCGTAGCCCATTTGCAGACTGAGGAGCGGCATTTGGTGAAAGGCACGTTTCTTAGGATGCCTCCGCGCGAGAGTATTTTGTAGTGTTGCTTAAGAAAATACATCAGAAACTGCGTATTTAAGCGATGGACGGTTTCAGTTCTGGAGAGCTACGTACACTCATGATTGAATAATCATGAGTTCAAGTGAGGAATGGTATTTGTGTAGTTAACTAGAAACCGTTTTTATTTCGCTCTGGACATATTCTGTCATTCTTAGAAATGTGGTTTTTTCCCGAAGTTTTGAGACTTCTAGCAAAGTAGTGCTTTTTAAACGTGATAAACTGTGATCATTGGGCCAAACATTGCCTTTATTTGTTTATTGGGACAGGGTCTCACTGTGTAGTTTAGACTGCCCTGGAACTCACTATGTAGCCCAGGCTGGTGTCGAACTTACAGCGATCCTCCTGCCTCGGCCTCCTGAGTGCTGGAGTTACAGGCGGGCGCCACTGTGCCCAGCTCAAACATTGTTTTTAAATGACTTAAAACTAGAACGTTTCCTTTACGTTGTATGCATTTTCTGCCTTTTTATATTGAATTTATCAAACAGTTGTGATCTGCACAATCTTGAAATTTGTAATTTAGCTCAAGTCTGAAATAAAAGTAATGGTAAATTAAGCTGCAGCGTTAATAAAGTGGGGGCATAACTTGTTAATTTAGGCAGGTTAGTAAAACAATGTTTATGGTTTGATATTCGGCTCTCTTTTCATTGTCTTACCCTATATTTTCTCCAGATGTCAGAGGATCTAGCAAAGCAGCTGGCGAGCTACAAAGCTCAACTCCAGCAAGTAGAAGCTGCATTATCTGGAAATGGAGAAAATGAAGATTTGCTAAAATTGAAGAAAGATTTACAAGTAAGTATTGGTGGACAGTTGTACATAACATTGCTTGAAAAGAATTGTTGTGTTTTTCAAATGATTTACTGTTTAGAATCCTTAGGTACTCAAAGCACCCTTGTAGGAGGGTGGTGGGGTGCCCCCGATGTGTGTAGAGAGACACTGAGGCATATAGAGAAAGAGCCGCTTCCTCAACTTGTATACAGCAAAATGAATGAAGCATTGCAGTTGTGAAAATCTTGTGTGCTTGTGCGGTTTTTAAAAAATGAGGTGATTTTGAAAATAACAAAATTTCAAAGAAAAAACTTTACAGTGGGACATGCTTTTATTTTTCAAGAGTTGGCAAAGAAAATTAAGTTCAAGATTAAAGGAGAAAAAGATAACCTAATTAAGATTCTTTTTTACAAAATTCTCTGGGGGTGAAATATGTGGCTTTTCTGTTCAAAGCTAGTGGGTTACACCTTGTATTAAAAATACAAAACGAATATCTAAAGAGAAACATGTTTTCTGTATTAATATTATATAGTTATTTGAATTTAAGACTAAGTTTTGCAGTGCATATGTTGGTCCTTGCTGAAATTGAACTGATGTGGTAAAATTGAGATCTCATTTGTCATGGAAGATTTAAGTAAGTATAAATCTTTTATACTGCACTGGGGTTTCAAGAAAATGTAAAACCACGAATGTAAGTATCTGTTGTTTTCAGGACACTGAATTAAGAATAATACCATATATAATTTATGAATACTACATATATGATTTTTCATCTTGAGAACTTAAAATTGTGAACCATATTTTTAAGTTTCTGGGGTATTTTGATTAGATGATGTCTCTCTACTGATTCTGTATCTTATCCAAATAATCTTTCCCTTTATCGTCCTGTTGCCCGTTAAAACTTATATTTTAGAGCTCTTACAATTGCATACATAGAAAACTTAAATGAGGTCTATGATTGGGATTCTGAAGGAGCTTATTAGGGCATAATTAAAAATGAGCTGAATATTTTCAAATTGTAGATTTAAGATGAATTTGCAACAGTATGTTATGTTTAAAAGCTCTGAGAAATTGAACAGAATCCCTCTTTCATTATGTAGAGGCCTGGCCAGTGGATTTCACTGTGTCGGTCAGTAAGAGAGAAGTGTGTTTCGAGGACAGGTTCACCCGTCTGAGTCCTTTTGTAAAAATTACCCAGTGGTTTACTCCTCCATACATTTGTGCTGCTCACATGCTCTGTGAATGTGCACTAAAGACGAAGTGACAGGCAGACTGACTCCTTTGGAGAACCAGCTTTCTTGCCTCAGATTACCCATTTCCCTTTATCAACTTAAAAGCAGTACTTCTTTTCTTTGAAGAAAACATTGCATGCCAATGTTTTATGCCACATATTGCTTCCTTGGCAGTGGGAAGAAGAGGTATATGTGGAACTGGTGGAGGAGTTGGGAATAGAGTTTGAAATAGCGTTATTATCAGGTATTTTTAATATTTCTAGAATCAACTGTCATTAGAATCTGGGCACAAGTGTCTCGATATGATCTGTAGTGGAAAACGTTGCAGGGAGAAACTATTGTGGTAGACAGTGTAGTAGCGCCTAAAAGGTGCTAGGTCAGTTAATGGCCTGGGAGTCATTTATAAGTAAAAATCCTCTTTAACCATTTAGAACAACACTGTCCAATGGAACTTTCTGTAATGTTCTTCTCTGCTGTTCAGTACCACAGCCACTAACCACATGTGGGTATTTGAAGTATGGCTAAGATGAGTGAGGAGGTAAACTTTTAATTTTATTGAATTAAATACCTGCATGTGAGTACGTATTAGGATGCAGACTCAGAAAGCTTAAGTGCTAATACCTCAGATTGTGACAGTATGGAATACTTGAACTGACAGTCTTGAGTACTCTTTTATTCCATCATGAGAGGGAAAATTAGATTTTGCTTACTAGATATATGTGTGTTTTGAATTGAAAACTGCAAAGATAGGAAGCATTTTTTAAGATTAGATGAAATTCTGAAAAGCATTTGGGTATATGATTCCACCTAGTAATTGTTGTCTCGGTTAAGACTCCAGTTACAGATTTTGTTTTGCTTTGTGTCCCTGCCCTCCTATCTCTTCTTCTTTCTGGGATGAATCTTGTGCCCTTGGCATTTAATTCTGCCTGTTACTTTTGGTAAAAGTCTGCTCAGATGCTTATTAAGTTTGTGGCTTCTTTATTTCATATTTTTGGACCATAATATGGTTCTTATTTTTGTGTTCCCCTTGTGGAACAAGAGGTTATTAATATTTGTCCTTTGATTATAACAGAATGCCCTGAGAGTTTTTTCCCATTGGCTTCTGTTTTTCCAGTAAAGTTTCTATGTTTATCACTTTTATGTTCTGTCTTTCACATAGAATAAAGTTACTCAAGAGGCAGCATATTCACCTAGTGGAACCCTAACTGCCTTTTTTCCCCCCACTTAAAAGAAACAACAGGGGTAGTAAATTCCAGGCTAGCTAACGAATGAGCTCCCCAGGCAGTCTGTGATTTTTTTAAAAAAAGTCATTTTATTAGGCTGTTTTGCTGAATAATCTGGTTCTAAAGGAGGCAGGGGTCAAGTCACTTGTCTCATATATTACAGTGGCTCTCTGCATCCCCGAAACGCCTTCCTTCAGTAAGCAGAGTGCTTGAGTGCACCCCCTTTGACCTGCTGATATGTAGATCACAACACCTACCTGATGCTTCCTGGAATTGCCGATTACTGTAACTGCTGCCCATCTGTCAATGAAGGAGCAGTTTCAGAACTCAGACTTGGGGGAGGAAAAGTAATTAATGGTATGTACCTTTAAGAACCCCCTCATATACAAAATAGCTTTCCTAATATTTTGGTCCATATGCACATGTAAAGAAAAAAAATTACAGGGTTCTTCATAGTTTTGCTGGGAGGGATATGTAAAACCAGGGCAGAGTTAAAGGACATTTTAGGAGTAATGCTCTGGATTTTGTTTATAAAAAGGGTCATTTTGGCACAGGGCTCTGAAAATTCCTTATAATATGCACAGCTTTTCAGGACTCTTTTCTTTGGTGAAAATACATTCCTTTGTGAGTGTAGTAGGAAAATATCCTGTCTAAAAAGAAAAGGAGTTCTAAATCTGAGACTATAAATCCAGAATTTGTGTGTGTGCTTCATTAGTTAAATGATCCTTAGGAGGATGTGGACATACTTAATGATGGGATTTTGTGGGCTCTTGAGTCAGGCTCATTGGATTATATTCCCAGCTCTAAAAGTAGTGAATAAAAGCAAACTAGGTATTTTCCTTTGTGTACTACATTATTTGGAATTTCTTTGCTTTATTAGCACAGTATTACCTGATTGATAAGTACCTGAGGGCTGGGGGTGTAATGCTGCAAGAGTGCTTGCCCAGCTTGTACAAGGCCTATTTTCCAACTCCAGTACTCAAAAACAGTCATGTTCTACCTTCAGGGCTACAAAAAAAAAAAAATTGAATAGCTACTTGGCAACTAGCAAAATTTGGAGGTACTACTCTCCTTTTTTGCAGGGAGGGTACTGGGAATCAAACTTGGGACCTTGTACTTACAAGGCAGGCGGTGGCACCACTGAGCTAAATCCCCGACCTGTTCCTGAATTTTTGAACTCAAATCTTTTTGTCTTCTAGTTTTTTAATCCATAAAGCTGACTTCCCCAGTGGCTTATTTCTCCTTTTTTTTTTTTTTTTTTGGTAAGCCCCAAATAGTTTTTTGTTAAGTAGCCAGAAGATTTCATAAGGACCTTCAGGAGAAAGGTAATAACTCTTGGCTACTAAACCAGAACTACTAATATATTTGTTTGTTTTGTTTTGGTACCGGGGATCGAACTCTGGTCCTTGCGCTTGCAAGGCAGGCAGTGGAACCACTGAGCTAAATCCCCGGCCCCCTAGAACTACTAATATGAAACCTCTGGGGGAGCTGAAAGAAACTGGGTTTATTTTGCCAATTTTTCTCCCATGCACCCAATTTGTTTTAAATTCATTCGTGTGAGGGAACAGCTAAGTACAGTTCTTAGATAAGATATAAATAGTGTAGATTTTCAGTAGAGTAAAAATACAGCAAATAGGTATCAATATCATCTATTGGTACTGCTTCACAAGTTTTTTAATTGACCCTCACTTGAATGCAATAGATAAATAGAAGACTGAATTAGAAAAAATATTTACCACACAGAGAGGCATCGCCTGCCTGTGTTACTTTTGTTTTATTATTTTTTTTCCCTTTTAAATGAAGCTGTGCTAATGTGCTTAATAATGTATAAACTATTTTAAGTCTGACAATAATTTGCTTACTTATTCAGGCAAGGTTTATAATTCGTGAGTAGGAAGACTACTGGTTTATTTTATATTTGCCTATAGTATTTTAGTAGAGATGTGTAAGTAGGAACATTTTGCTTACTAGTAAGGATACTTAAAAGTGTTTGGGGATTTGTGGAGAGGTTGTTGGCTAGAAAATTAGTACTATGGCTAAATAATGCCCTGTAAAACAGTACAGCTGCATAAACTATACATGGCATTGTAAAAGAGACCTTGAATCTAATTCAGTCCCTCCCTATGACTTAGAAGTAATGCATGGTATAAATTTAAGTCTACTTTATTTCCATTAGTATCTGCGGTTGAGGATATCTGTATAGGCTTAAATTATCACTCCAGTGCCTACTAGTATAAAATATTGTCTCTCACTTTCTACATGGGGATAATCATAGTACTCTCCTAATAGTGTTATGAACTAAGCATAAAGAGTATTTAATAAGTGGTCTGTGGTGTAAGAGCTGTCATCAGTCAAAAACTAAAAATAGTTGACAATGGTATTTTTTAAATGTTATGGTTTTTGTTCTCTTTTAGGAAGTTATAGAACTAACCAAAGACCTTCTGTCAACTCAGCCTTCAGAAACTCTTACAAGTTCAGACAGTTTTGCTTCTACTCAGCCCACTCATTCATGGAAAGTAGGAGACAAGTGTATGGCAGTCTGGAGTGAAGATGGACAGTAAGTGTAGAAAAAAACCCCTAACTGTAACATGAAATAATAAAATACAATGGTAAGATGTTTTTACTCAGTTTGAACTACCCTATTTTAATCTTTCTTTGTAGGTATGTAGCTCATACAGCCAGTTTTTAATTGTTGGGTGGTTACAATTAATATAGTTTAGTTTTAGTTTTAGAATAAGACTCGTGGAGAAAATGACTAGGACCCTAGAGTGGGGGAAATGTGAGTACAGCGGTACCTCAGTTTACAAACCATTTGTTCCATGCTTCTAGAAAAGATGGCCATGTTTTTGTGTTTGTCACCTGATTTAGAGTGCAAATAAGAACAAAATTTTGCTAAACACACTTTAGTTTGCAAACTGGATTGTTCACAAAGGTTTTCAAGAACTGAGGTGCCACTGTATTTTCTAAACTAAATTCTCTTTATGTTAAAAATTGAGTAAATTGTTGGTTATCTGAGATTTCTCTAAAGTACATACTCTAAAATAATTCCTGTTAAGAAATGCCATCTCTTAAAAAGATTAAAGCACATTGAATAAATACAAGTACAAGACTTTTTGGCAGTATTTTGATTGGGGCTTTTTTTTATAGCAGATGACTAACTTCACCCACTCTTTTGTATTATTTTTGCCAAAAGAACCATTTAAAAAGTTTCATTTTAGACACATAATAATTGAGTCACTGCAGTGTAAGTCTTGTAGGCTGAATACTAAATCTTTACTCACCTGCTTACAGCCATGATATCTTTACAGGTGTTATGAAGCGGAGATTGAGGAGATAGACGAAGAAAATGGCACCGCTGCAATCACCTTTGCTGGTTATGGCAATGCTGAAGTGACTCCATTGCTGAACCTGAAGCCTGTAGAAGAAGGGAGGAAGGCCAAGGAGGACAGTGGCAGCAAACCGATGTCAAAGTAAGTGGTTTTGACCTTTAGGTGTTCTCCATTTGGTGTAGTAGGTAGTTATGGGAAGAATCTTCGCCAGCAAGATTTGAGTGAGGAAACTACAATACTGCTCATCCTTTGTTTAGAAGGTGAGCGATACAGGGTCAGCCCGGTCTGTATATGCACACTTAGGTAAAGTGAAGATGTTTTGGTTCCCATGTACATATTCAATAATTATGAGATACTGTACACTAAGAATATCTTCTTACCATATTTTATAAGCCAGGCACTGGGACTTCACCACAGCAAATACCATGTTAAGCCTTTTCCCCACTGAAGTAAATATCCAGAGAGGAGAACACATGATTTTAAAAATGCTTTAATAGTAGCTGCATGTGGTGGCACATGCCTGTAATCCCAGCACTTTTGGAGGCCAAAGCAAGATTCTAACAAGTTTAAGCCCAGCTTGGGAAACTCAGGAATTTAGTGAAACCCTCTCTCAAAATAAAAAAGTGCTAGGGATATGCAGCTCAGTGCAGAGGCCTAGGTTCAGTCCTCTGCCGCCTCCTATATCCCCCCCAAAAACCTTCAAAATAAAGTGTAGATGTTTTGGAGGGACATAACAGGTACTTAATGGGAATAGAGAAGAGGTACTGCAACTGCAATTATCAGGGCACGTTCCTTGGGAAAATGACATCTAGACTGAGATTTCAAAAAGAATAGAAGTTAACAAAGTAAAACTAGAATTTACTGACTACATATGTCTGGAGTTAAAGCTTTTTTATTAATATGCATGATTACCTTGGGCAAACTGTTCACCCACTCTTTCCTTGTCTGTAAAACGGGCAGTAGTTATGTGTATTGTTGGGTTTCGGGGATTAAATGATAGCATTAATAAAGTTAATAGCACCACTCGTAACATGTAGTATCACAGATACACCGTGCACATTGCCTTGCACTTCCCAGTGGTCCCCTCCACATCACTACTGCTCTTCCGCTTGCTTCTGGACATCCTGGGGTCCGAGTGAGCACTGCATGAGCACTCAGAGGCACAAGTGTGACAGTGTCCGGCAGATTTGGGAGTTGCTTCTGCATTAATGGCTCAGTGTGAGGGCATAGAGGTAAAAGAATTTCCGGGCTAGAAGACAGTGGCTTCACAGAAGGTTTGATAGGTAGAAGCCAGATCATAAAGCAGTTTTTGAAGCAGATGTGATGTGTTGCAGTTTTAGCTTAAGAATGATCTCTGTCCAAATCATACTGCGGTAAGGTATGAGATGATGGTGGCCTGAATCCAAGGAGTGGGAGTGGGAATGGAGTGGACAGTTTTCAAATAACAAGAACATTTTTACTAAGAATATTGTAAAACAGTGGGTAATCTCTGGTGTTAGGTTTTACTTCAGTGTAAAAAGCTGGACTTTGTGGTGGTGATTATAGTTTATATTACAGAGGAACCTGGACTTTATTGCCTGTCTAAAAGATCTCTCTATCTTCTATTGTTTGATAATAAGGTCTTAGACTCTGATCCTGTTTTTAGTCCTGTTTAGAATTTTTTTTGGAACCCTAAGTTTTATTTTGGTGGTTGTTTTGTAATGCTGAAATTGAACCAGAGCCTTGCATATCTGAGGCAAGCACTTTACCCCTGAATTACATCCCAAGCCCTTTTTAAAAATTGCATTTTGTGACCAAGTCTTGCTAAGTTGCTCATCCTGGTTTCAAATTTGAGATTCTCTTGCCTCAGCTTCCTAGGGTTACACAGGCAGGCATTGCCATACCTGGTTTAACCCTGGATTTTTTTTTTTTTCCTTTTATTAGTTAGTGGTTTTAAGATTTGTTAGCAGCGGGCATGGTGGCGCACTCCTGTAATCCCAGCACTTGGAGGCTGAGGTAGGAGGATCACTGTGAATTCGAGACCAGACTGGACTACATAGTGAGTTCCAGGTCAGTCTCAACTACATAGTGAGACCCTGTCTCAAACAAAACAAAACAAAAAAGCATTTGTTAGCTATGATGATGAGAAACCCTGTCTCAAAAAAACAAAACAAAAAAGAATTTGTTAGCTATGATGATGTGTGTGTGTTGCTGTATTTGTCCATTTGTGAGGTGACGTGTTTTATATACACTTAGTCTCTTCAAATGCTGCAGTTATACTTGTTAACTGTGTCTGTCTGAAAATTAAGGGTAAGCCAGCCATTAACCACTTACCAGTCCAATTATTTACATCATGACCAGAAATTGCATTTTAAATTAAGTTTTTAAGACATAACAGGAAATACAAAAGTGACAATCTTTATCAGTACACAAATCGACTGCCTGAGCGACGCCCGAGATAGTCAGTGTGCAGACAAGTGTTCTGCCAAGTGGCTGCTGTCAGGATTCAACTTCTAAGATACAGCTAGAAAGTCATAGCAGTCAAATAAGTCACAGTTGGAAGTTTTGATTATGCAATAGATTAATGTTTGAAAGCATCTAATGACACTCTATATACCCTTTTAAAAAAACATTTCTTCGTAGTGCTAGGTTTTGGCATTGATTTCAATGTGTTGAGGTTTGTATTCATGGAGGGAAGAGTGTAAGTTTATTGGATTTTTTTTCTGCATTGCTAAGGTCTACAAAGAAGTCATCTTTTAAATCTTAAAGAGTTGACATTTAGCTCTGTTTTTCACACACACAGAAAAGAAATGATTGCCCAACAGCGTGAATATAAAAAGAAGAAAGCTTTGAAAAAAGCACAAAGAATAAAAGAACTTGAGCAGGAAAGAGAAGACCAGAAGGTGAAATGGCAGCAGTTCAACAACAGAGCCTATTCTAAAAACAAAAAAGGCCAGGTTGGTAAATCTTTTTACTTTTTTTACACCTGAAAAATACACCTGCCTTAAAATAATTTTATAATTAAAAAAAAATTTTTTTTTTGGCGCCAGGGGTCGAACTCAGGACCTTGCACTTGCAAGGCAGTCACGACACTACTGAGCTAAATCCTTGGCCTGGCCCTATTTAGTTATAATTTAAAAGGAGATAGATTTTCAAAACTATGTAAGTAATCAGTTCTTGAATCAATCTTTAGTGTGGCTTTTTGAAAAACTCTATGAGCCATTGTCTCTGCAAACATTACAAGTTAGGGTTTATGTTAGGAATTATAGAAATTTGAAAAATTATTTGCTACCTTTTAGACCACGTAGAGGCAATTTATTGAACTCTCTTGCTTAGTTTGCATAACTTTATAAGTGTCACTAGTAGATTTTATTTGAAAGAGCTTTCAGGTTCTCTCAATAAACTTCTCTGACCACTGGTCTCGCAAATGCAGGGTCCCGAGTTCAATCACTGGTACCAAAAAGAACCCCCTTGAATATTGGGTAGAAAATAACCATAGCATTCATAGAAGTTAAAAGTAAGGGTGGCCTGGCTTTCACCCATCTTACTTTTCTGTCAAGCTGACCCTTCCACTGGTAGACATAGAAAATAGTGCTTCCCTTTCGTAACGATGTTTGACTTAAATGGTAAGGGCTCTTCGCAATTTAGACATCACAACAGGCTCACCATAAATCTGAATACAACCAGAGTTATAGTCGTGTGAAAATAGATAGCTCGCAGCATAAATTATGATTTGAGATTACGAAACTAAAACGTTGAGACCTGTAAACAGTGAATGTCACAACTATTAGTAGTGTATAACTTATAAGTAAATGGCTTCTTCCAGCACCACTTTCACTACTCATTTTTGACCCTAAGCAAACAGAAGCAATGCTCTTCTCTCTCCTTTCTCCTCCTCTGTCCCCTCCCTCCCCTCCTTCCTCTCCTCCCCATCTGTCTCCTCTTGTCTCCTCTCCTCTCCTCTTTCTCTCTTTCTCTCTTTCTCTTTAATACCGAGAGTAGAATGTATTGTAACACTAAGTTTGGGGAAAAGATTTTTTTCTAAAACTAATTAGGAAAAAAAAAACTAAGAATGATTTGATGGTTTGTTTTCTTACCCCTAGGTAAAAAGGAGTATTTTTGCTTCACCTGAGAGTGTAACTGGCAAAGTTGGAGTAGGAACTTGTGGAATTGCTGATAAACCTATGACACAATATCAAGATACTTCTAAATACAACGTCAGGCATTTGATGCCTCAATAATCAGAAAAACTGTTGGATTTCATCTCTGCAGGGCTTTACATTTACCTTTTTATCCTTATATTTTTCTAAAGGTAAATTATTTGTTAGGTGAGTAAGGAAGATATCATTGTTGTCATTGTTTGACTTCAATAGAATGAAACTTGAAGAAATTGCATTTGATAAACTTATTCATTTAACTTTTCATTACTACTACCATAGTTCCCTCAGAGTTTATTGAGTAAGGCAACTTTTCTAGATAGAAGCTGCTTCGTTCAGCACGTAGATGACTTGTTGGTATACGGATACCAAGCCCCACGTACAGTCATAACCTGGACTCTGACACAGTAACCCAGTGGAACAGGAAGGCAAAACACCAGCCTGCTGAGACCTTTTTTTTTTCTCTTCCAACTTTAAAACCTACCTATTGTGAAGCCTAACGGTAGGTTACTTTATACCGGCACAGTTTGTTTTGAGGTTTTTCCTTCAGTAACTTTCTTCCTAAGCCAATTTGGTCATCTCTAAAATTGATCCAGCTTTTATTTTTATTCATTTAGTTTTATGTAGAAAAACATGTCTAGGATGAGCTACCTTTTTATTAAGGTGTTTCTGTTCGGTGTTTTGTGGATTTGGTTTTGTTTGCTTTTTCCTTTAATTTTTTCACTTACGGTAGTGGTACTGTTTTTTTGGACGTGTAATGTTTATACGGGAAAACAAAAAGTGATGTATAGCCCTGTATACAGTGTAGATACTATTTTTGTAAAAAACCAAGGCTAAATTAATGAACAAGAGTACTGAATGTTTCATCATTAAAATTTTCTTATATTTGTGCATTAATCTGACCATAATTTCCCTGTATATTATGTTCATGTAGCTGAGTTTGTAATTTTAATTAACTAGATCAAGTTGCCAGCATTTGTTGGTGTGAGCATCAGTTATCTGAAGTTGAGTTTAAACCAAATACATGCATAGAAAAGGGTCTTCCTATTAATGGAAGATGATTTTTAGGATGTGTGTGTTAATTTCAGTTTTGTATGTTTAACTTTTATTAAATAAAGCATTTTTAAAATCTCCAGGGTGTGTTACAAAAGGGTGAAGTCTAGCTTTGAACTTGAACACAAAATTGCAGGGGAAGAGGGTATTGTATGCTAAAGGTTTCAGTAAATCCTTAAGTATTCCTTCCATTAAATATAAAAAATCCGATCTCAGACCAACTAGTCATTTTAAGTCTTCGCTGTGTGTTGGGGTGTTCATAAAATTTTGCTGGAAAGGGAAATTTTTTAATTTTTCAAATTTTAATTTTATTTATTTTTCTTTTGTATATTGAAACTTTAGGGCAGTGTTGAAAGGTAGAATTCTTCGTCAGGTGTGGGTAGCACATGCCTGTAAATCCCAGTACTCGGGAGGCTGAGACAGGATGATCACTGTGAGTCCGAGACCAGCCTGGGCTACATAGTGAGTTTCAGGGCAGTCTCAACTACATAGTGAGACCCTGCCTCAAAAAAAAAACAAACTTTCTCTCCCTTTGCCTTTCTCCTTCCAGCCCAGGTCACAATTTTCCTTCCTAGACACATAGAACAAAAAGAGATTGTAGCAGAAAAAGATCTACCTAAAGCCTGAAATTTTTAAAATAAAAACTCTGAAGTATACTGATACTTATTTCATAACTATTGTAACAGCAGCAGCCTTGAAGAGTTGCAAGACAATCCTTTGAATGAAAACATCACAAGTTTAGGGCAACTGTGCAGAAAATGGTTTTTACTGCATTGCCTTAGTATGGTAGGTAGCAGTTTACCTGGTGTATGAATAGGCAAAATGGCTGTCAGTAAGACGGCCCTCCTTTGACACAATGGGCCCTTCTTTTCTGCATGTTAATTTTACTGGAGGCCTTTGTAGTAGGAGAAAGAAAAGAAATAGAAGTGACCATATCACGCAAAACATTTATTTCAAAAATAGGAAGCATAGCTTAAGATCAGGAGCCCTTGTGTCAGAGACGATGTGACCCTTTGGAAGGTGAGTGTCGGGATGATGTCTCTGGATTACCTGAAAGGGTGGGGGTCACATAGTACTTGTTATACTTTAATGCTGAAGATGCTTAAAAGCGTACACATGCAGTATTGTACTAATGAAGGTGGTTAAGCTCTCCATGGTCTAAAAATTAATTAGGAACCCTGGCCTTAAAGCTTTGTAAAAAAAAAAAATATTTAAGTGTAGTTTCCCCTTTGTCTTGAAGTTCTGAAACTGACAGACTCAAATGTAAAATACCAATTCATGACTCCTAAGTACATTGGTTTCACATTATCTCCTCAAAGCTTAGCATTCTTTTGTTATTCACTGTAATGACCAGAAATCTGTGTCACAGATAGGTGCTAGTTAGCTTGGAGAGACCAGCAGAGCAAGGATTCTCAAACATGGATGCTGTTTGAATCCTGGACCCCCGTTTATTAGTGATAAATGTGTGTGAGTCCTCTGCCTCATTTCCTCTACTGTAGAATGAAAATAATAGCGCTCTCTAGGTTTTAAGGGGTAGGTTAACATCTGTAAGGAGCTACAGTATCGAGTATGGTAGGTAACAGGAGCAGCTGACATTTACCGGGAGGTGGCAGTGGCGAATACATGATCTTTTTTCCTTAAAACAGTAGCTTGCGTTTATGGATAATAAAACCCACTACTTAAGATTTGAGGCCCCCAGTTACAACTTACCGAAATGTTAACAAATTACCAAGCAAAACATAAGTCCTAGTAAGGTTTTAAATTAACTTTCACACTAGTGCATATTTCTTTATGGGAAGAGAGTGAAGGTTATAATAATAACCCCTAATGCTCATAAAATTAAACAGGTTCTGGGTCTAGTTCCTATTCCAGACTTCCTTACCCAAGCCAGGGTGTCTTTGACAAACACCATAAACAATTGTGATACTCATCCTTCACTGAGAACGGTGTTTTAGGTTAAATGTAAAAGGCCTTTGATTTTTGGAATGAAAAATACCTTTAGTGGCAGTTGTTTTAGCCTAATTACGAAGATGGCATTAAAGCAATTCCATCAGTTAAAACTGTTAATTCATTTTTTAATGCTTGTTTTTGTCATAGTAAAGGATTGTGTGTGTGTGTGTTTCCGGTATGTGATTTTAGTGTTGGGTATGTCTGCCTTGAAAAAACAGGAAACGTCAGGCCCTGTAAAGAAAGTTTATTTTTTTTTGTGACCCATGCATATCAGTAGGTTATAATTTTATAATTAAAACTAGACCTTTTTACAAGGTAAAAAATACCAGTTGTAAACCTAGCCAAAAATAAAACTTATTTAATTTGGCTTTTTGCCTCATTTTGACATTGAAATACAAAACGGAAATTAATTTAAACTAGCCAGGTTTTATATTTGTTGAAATCTTTAAAAGCGTTCAATAAATATGTGAACTGTATTGTTTATATTTTTCTGTGAAGCAGATAGTAGAAATAATTCACAAATTCAACAGTAAACATCAACATTCTTTGTATCTAGGATTTTTGAGTTGCAAGTTAAACTGAATTTTTACTGCACTGGAGAGGGAGAGCATAGCAAGCAAAATAAAAGGTAATTTTGTAGTTCCGACAAAGAGCCCCAAGTAATTGAATCCCTTTATCCTATCATTTTTTTAAAACTTCTATTTTGGTATAGATATATTTTTATGAGGTTTAGATACCCATATTATAGATGGGACCTCCTAAGAATTTGTCTTGGTATATAAAAGCAAGCAGTAAAAGAAGACATATGATGGTGTTACATTTGTGAGATTTTTCAGTTGCATTTTCTGCCTTTTCAGCTAATGTGTATAAAGGTGGTTCTTTTGTGGCCTTGAATGGGAAGGATAAAGTAGACCTGAGAATTAATTGTACATAGCTAGCAGCTGAACTAGCTGAAACTACCAGATTTTAGATAATCATCTCTCAGTTCCCAGGCAGTAAAAACTGGCAGTTAACCTCTACCATATTCCTTTCCAGTTCATTTTATGAGCCCAGCGTAGACTTAAGAGTCACTGGAATGATTTAAATTGTAATGTTTCCCCAGTCAGGTAAAGGAGCCATGGTTACACTGTTAGCAGGAAAGGCTGGGTTGGCTTTGAAGAGACACTTCGTCACTCTGGGGCCCAAAATTACAGTTTTTATTTTGCTGGCTCATTTTCCCTTTCCTGGTAAAACTGATGAACTTTTGTTTTTTTTCCCTTTCAAGCCCTGTACTTACCTTAGCAAGATGCAGTGAATTTCTGACCCAAGAAACAGGCTTGGTGCAAGCACTTGACTCCATATCCTGGGAGAACTTGAAGCCTGAGCTCTGCAGCTAGGCTAGTCTTTAATAGATGGTAATTGCCAGTTGTTCATTGCTCAGAAGTGGCAGGAAGGAGTAAGTATCCCTTCAGTTCTTTGGCCTAGAGTTTTTCCTCCATGAGTGCTGTCAGGTGTAGGTGATCTAGCTTTCAGTTAAGTGTGATGAAGCTACTGACCTGTTAAACTTACACATATTCTTTTACTACACGTCGGTAATGCTGCATGGCTTTGTGTAAACATCTAAAATACCCTAATTATTGCCCTAACAATAAAGACTTTAAGTATTCCTTATTGCAGAGCTAAGAATTAAGAGAATGGAAAAAAAAATTCCCCAAAATCATAGTTAAGTTGGTTGGCAGTATTTTAATAGTGTTTCACTTGGGCTGTTTTTCATAATTTGTAACTGGGAAGAAAGGCCAAACAAGGGCCGGGGATGTAGCTTGGTGGAGCCATGCCTGCCTGTCAAACACAAGGCTCTGAGTTCAATTTCCAGTTCCAAAAAGAAAAGGCAAGCAAAATAGTGAAGTGAAATTGTCAGTACACACCTATGAATTACAGTAAGAATTTCCTGTTAGATCTAGTGCATGGGTCCAGTAAGATAGCTGAATTGCCTTTCTAGGCAAGGTCAGCATTAAATATTAAGCAGGGCTTTCAGATACCTGTAGTGGTTAATAGTGTATGATGTGTTCAATCTCATTATTTTTGTAGTACACTAGGATTAAACCCAGGCATGCACCATTCCTGAGCTACATCCCTAGCACCTCCTTTTTTTCCTGGTACCAGGTTTTGAACTTGTGCACAGTTCCAGTGAGCTAAATCCCCAGCTTGAGACTGGGTTTGTGTGACCCAAATTTGGAATCCTATCTCAGTCTCCCTCCATGATGGGATCAAGGTTTGCACCACCATGTCCACGCAATCATTAAAATGAACACTATTGTTCTTGTAAAGCCTTTTATAATTTTGTAGGTTATCAATTTGAGCCATGTCGGTAGTCTCAGATGTTTGGGAGGCTGAAGCAGGAGGATTACTTAAGGCTATGAGTTCAGGCATGGTGGCACAGGCCTGTAATCCCAGCACTCTGGGAGGCTAAGTGAGGCAGGAGGACCTAAGTTCAGGGCAACTTAAAGACTCAAATTCTGTCTCCCCCCAAAAAAGGTCTGAGGATATAGATTCAGTGGGAAGAGCCTAGAGTCAATCCCTAATTCCAGAAAGAGGGTAAAATTAGAGTACTACCTGCCATGGAATTTTGTTAATATGAGCTAATATTTAAGAAATGTCTTCTGTAAGATCTAGAGGTAGGATAATTAAAATTTGAGGTTAAGGGTGAAGTAAGATTGCATTTATCAAAAAAAGTATAGACTTTATTTCTACAGAGATTTGGGAGAGGAGTAATTAACATGTATTATGCATAAACCCTTACATTTCAAGATGGAGGTAGTATGTGTAACACCTCGGGAGGAAACAAGTACCATGAAGAAATTAATTGTTCAGGGCCTACCAAATGATGAAAGTTAAATTAAGTCCTTGCTTTTCCCATGTTACCCATAATGGTAGATGCATCAGAATCTGACTTTGCTTTGGTATTTTGAGGTGGAATGATAAACAAAACAGAGTAAACCGCTGCTGCTTCAAGTGAAAATACAAAAATTCCTAAAAGGCCACTTTCTTCAGGAAATAGGAATTAAGGAGCTGTATAACCTTAGAGGTGCCTTGCCTCAACGCTGCCTTTTTAAATCCCTTCGTAATTCTAAAGGCAGACATTGTCATGGGGCCTGCAGAGACATTTTTTAAAAGTAAGAGTTCTCATATGTGTGCTAACCAGACTGACTTCATCTGAATCTTCTTGGTATTGTGGTGGGTAAGATTTACCTGTACCTCTGAAGTACAGCCCACAGGCGTTTTATTAGAAGAGTACCTTAAAGTAAGGTTTTAGTGGGAACTAAATGGAGACTGTGGGTCTTGTTTCCAGTTTGTGTAATAGTGTAACCAAATGCCAAATGGATCCCTGAGATCAGATGATGTCAAATAGCTCTGTGTCCTACCTGAAGCAGTTATCCAGTACAATACATGAAGCCATATTCAGTTAGGATCCATGGAATTGGACAGGCACTGGTTTAAGTTTTACAACAGTTAATTATAATTCAGATTCCCATTAATTCTGGACTTCTGATGTATCAACACTTAGAAGATAGCTGCCTGAAGGTGTATTCATGTTTGCCTTTGTGGAGAAGGGTGTTACAAAAATTAACTCGGGTATTCTTTATTCACAATTTTTTATTTCTTAGTTAACCTATGTGTCATTTGGTCTGCTGAAAAACTAATACTCCTTCCTCACTATAGTTTACCCTTGCCTTCCCTCATGGAAAACCAACCCCGGGAAGAAGCAGTATGGGGGAGTGGTGATGTGTGTACTGCTAAGTTGGGGACAAATGCTTCCCAGCCCATCATCCTGTACACAGACAATGAAATGGCAGCACCTCAGGTTTGTTCCGTGGCCCACCTTCCAGCTGTGTGTAAAAAGCTAGTGAATGCTATGGGAAAAACAAAAATGGAATCTTAGATGTTGACTTCAATTTACTTTGCATGATATAGGGAGTTCTTACCCCAAAGAAATGTTCTTACACATTCTTTAAACTCTCACTTGGGAAAGTCAAAAGTAAGCAAATATGTAGCACAACATCTTGACCTGGCCAGGGATATTACAAATGAATAAAGAAATAATTTACCTGGGCCATAGGAATGAGTTTGTTTTGTCATGTTTTTCATTAAGTCTCCAGCACCTAAAGTGTAGCAAATTCCAGTAGTGGGTTTGGTTTCTAAAGAAATGCAGTTTTCATATACATCTATTTCAAAGGAATTGAGGGAGGACTCAAGGAAAAATGTTTTTGGAGGAATAAAAGCGCAAGAACAAGTGAATATACACACACACACACACACACACACACACACACACACACATGTATGTATGTGCTCAGGCCTTATGTATGATGTGGTACACTTCACATAGAGAAGCACTGAATGCTGTTACAATGCTGCTCACAAAGGAGTGTCTAACATTAACACACAACTCGGCTGCACTGCTAAATATGGTTGTCTTTATTTTCTTTTTTTTTCCTTGCCCAGCCCTATCTAAACATAAAACTACAGGACCAAAATTAACAACCCATTAAAATCAGCAATAAGTTATGAAAATCATAAAGCTTTTTTTAAAAAGTAATTAAGGGTAGTTAAATTATTTAAAGTATACAGAGTCCAAAGGGGGAGGTCTCCAGGAGTCTTCCTGGGCTAATAAGCTTGAGGACCAGAGGGAAACCTGGGCGTTGGAAAGACAGTGGGAACATGTGACATCAAAGTGCAGGCTGGGAATTTCACTTAGGAGAAAATAATATTTCTGAAAATAGAAGAGCAACAATAGCACCTGCACAGTGGGACTGAGACGAGACTGTAGAAAATGAGGCAAATCTTTACAGTAAAATGAAATAAGTGCTGAACTTAACTATGTTAATTACAATAGTGTCTACTATGGATATCAGATGGTTAAAAACTGGCAAGGGTAATGATTCTAAAAACAAAAACAGCATTGACCTTTCTCTACCTAGCCCAGACCTCATTCCTTGTGTGCACTATAAAGAGGTGTTATCAAATGCTGCATCAAAATAGATTTTTCCCAATGTTTTTCCACTATAAAAGACATCTATGTTTACTTATGGACAAGCTTTAAAAAGATGTCATTTTGGTTTTCAACACATATAAAGTTATCAAAATCTCAAATAAAAATGCTGCCACGGCTCAGACTTTGGCCTGCTAATCTGTGTGCATGGTGCTTCTGACTCACGCAGACACAGGGGCACGTAGAGCTTTTTCCTTCTGGCCCCCCAATCCGTACTCAAAGGCCTGTGTGGCAGAGGCCGTCATGCAGCAGTGCCCTCGTGGCCTAGGGGCAGTGGGCTGGTGAGCTGGTGGTCGGGTGCCCTAGTGCTAACGATGCGGGGTAAGGTCAGCTGGCTTAGCATGGAATCCAACGGAAAGCTGAGCTGCACGATGATCCCTCTCAAAAGGCTTCACAGTCTCTCCTTTTGTAGAGCATGAAATGAGTTTTTTAAAAGAGGATCGATCATCCATCCACAGGCTTCGTGATGAGTTGTCCCAGGCTGAGTTTTAATAGGTCTTTAGCTACCCAAATTTACTGCCTGATTATCTTGTCTTCCTCACTGTAGTTTTGATTTTGTTTCTAGGGCCATAAAGCTCAGGAAGGGTTCACAGCCCCATCTTTTAACGTGTCTACTCAATATAGTATGAGCAAACTAGAAAAAGGATGGACTCTCCAATGTCCTCTTTTAAACCAACTAAATCAGATCAAGGTAATTTCACATGTTTGCTTATGCCATTAGGAATTAAATTTTTTTCCAATATGAACATTTTCCAGCTGGGGAGGCTCTACCCCACTTTTTGCTAAGTATTTGCGTAAATACAGGTCTTCTGACCTTTTTGTTCAAGTATAGTTTTGTTTAGCTTTAAAGAGGAGACTGCAACATGAGCCCAATTTAAGAGACTGTATTATATTGGCCCAGTGAATATTTTGCCCTGCACTGTTGTCATGCTGGGTTCTAGGAAGTGAATGAAAGTTTGACACTGGCACTGGAGTAACCCTCATCACTCCCAATACTCTGCAGGCTGCTGTGGTCATCAATATCACTGATGCTGGTGGTGCTTATATTGTCCACTTCTCCATGGGAGAACTCTGTGCTTTCAACATCCACTTCAATCTCCTCTGCCAAAAGAGGGGGGGGAAAAGGCATTAATAATCTACCCATCCCCTTCGAAAATTAAAAGGCATGAGGAAAAACAGTATAAAATGTTATACAGCAAGCACACTATCACGATCTCTGGAGATAGACAAGGTGAAGAGAGGGATATTCTCCCCACAGAAGAATGTCTGCTATACCATGCTCTTAATTTAGGCAGCAAGTTTACCAAAACCCTTTGACGCCAGTCTGTCTGGACCTCTCTCTCCAAGCACTCTATTTGGAAATTAGCACTTAATATTAAAAGATCCCAACATCTAACATCTGTTTTGCATTAAACCAGAAACTAATTCTCAGTGTTGTTTTATTAATCAGGGTCGCCTTGAAAGGAGAAAAAGAAAGCATAAACTTTAAGACAGATAACGAGAAAACGTGTCCATCAAGACCTATGATGGTATCATTCTATAGATAATTCTACAGATGACTACAACTTATCCTAAAATTTTTTATTCAGTAACTAAGGCAGTCATAAAGTACATTTTTGAAGTCTGATTTTGGGGTGGGAAGACTGAGAATAGAACTCAGGGCCTCATGCAAGCTAGGCAAGTGCTCTGCTGCTGAGCCACATCCCCAGCTCCCAAATACTGCTTGAAGTAAGAACTTGAGATTTAATTAGTTTCTGGATTATAGCAGGAGTATAAGGAGTTAAGAGTAAAGACATTATGGTGGTGGGGTTTAGTTTTAAAAACCAAAATCCTAAATACACACATGGCCACATCTATCACATTTTGTTAAATACTGAAATCAGTATTTAATAATAATACTTTTTACAGTTTACAGTTGCTTTTTTCCCCTTAGGAACTAGAATAAAAACTCAGGATTTTTCAGTACTCTTAAAAGACAAACACAGGGCTGGGGATTTAGCTCAGTGGTGCCGTCACCTACCTAGCTAGCACAAGGTCCTGAGTTCTATCCCTGGTACCACTAAGACAAACACAAAGCCTAGTATTTCCTATTTGACTTAGATGAAACAAGGAAGACAGATCATTGGCCATTATTAAAGAAAGCAATGATGGGTATATAATTCATTATTTATGAGTATGTTTGGAAATTTCAATTTAAACAGACAAAAACAAAAATCTGTTTTAGGAAAAAAGCCTTAGTGTCATTGTTTAGTATTTTAGTATATGCAAAATCTCATTAGTTGTATTTTCTCAAATACGAGGCTTAAAATCATCAAAGTTTACCTCTGGGGTCTCATTGTGGTGTAAGGCCTGACTGAGGTGGGTGAGGCGACAGACGAAGAGATCGGTAAAATTAAGATTTTTTTTTTTGGAAGGTGGGGGTTGATTTCTTTACTTCTGCTAAAGACAAATGTTCCACAACAGGTGGAAAGAGAAATTAAGGATGTGGTACTTAAAAATATCACCAGTGATGTAAAATCAGTGTTTCTTCCTGACACCATGAATTGAAGAACACAACGTGACTTCTGTGATATTTCTTGCTCCAAACAGACACCTTCAGTCTAATAATTTTAAAACATGTTTCCAAATGGGGAACACTATATAAAAAGGCCAGTATTCTTCAAAGTTTTAGGGTCATTAAAGAAAAGACCAAAGAACTAATAATGTAATAGGAGATTTTGCATAGGCTGCTAGACCTGACAAAAGACATCCGTGGGAAAACTAGTATAATCAGGCCCCTACCCTGGGAATTAAATCCACAGCTTCATGAGTGCTGGGAAGCACTCTACCACTGTGCTACATCTCCAGCCTTTTTATGTTTTACATTTTGAGACACAGTTCTTTTCTGCTAAATTGCCCGGGCTGACCTTCAACAGTCATCCTCCTGCCTCAGGCTCACCAGTAGCTAGGATTACAGATGGATACCACCATGCCAAACTTGTTAATAGTGTTATACCAATGTTAAATTTCTGTTTTCAGTAATTATAATGGTGTTAGCCATCAGTGGAGGCTGGGTGAAGAACAGACAAGAATCCCACCATTTTCTACCGAAAACTAAGACTAAAATTTCAAATCATTTAAATATATAAAAACATATACTAAATATTTCAAGAAAAAAAAACCTTGTAATTCATACAGGCGCTGGAAGACAATGTGATTGCATAAAACACAGACTGTCACAGTAGTGGCTAAAAAGAAAGCAAACAGTGTTCATGCCAACCTACCCTGCCTAAATCCAGACAGAGATGCTTAGCATTCATTACAGTAGAGACGCACTGCCTACCTCGCTCTGAATCAGAACGATCTGAAGAAATAGTCGATCCAATGCTGTCCATTCGTATTCGCTCCATTTCTTGAGGACCCTGCAGCTGTTCTAGTCGTCGCTTTAAAAATCTCTGTTCTCGTTCCAAGTTCTCAAGCTGGTGCTGGCTCTTTCTTTCAGCTTCTTCAAGTTTCTAAAATGATGGAATGATATGTACATCTGTATAGTCAAATTTTAAAACATTAAAACATTTCTAACATTAAAAATACTCTGGTGGAGAAAATGTGTCTGCATATATGAAAATACACGAGTATATCTTTTTAAACCTCAAAAATAGTTCCGTCTATACGTTTTTGTGAATGAATGCTAATTACTTGAACACATAATGTGTAGCTGAACAAGTAAAAGTCTGTAAAACAATCTCCATAAAGGAAACTTCCTGTGCAGCATTGTATTTGATGGAAAAATACTGAGGAACAGCCTGCCAAATGAAGCTATCTCCACCAGAGGGCACAAATGCCTGCCTCCTTTCTGGCTGTCAGAAGGGTAATTGTTACTTTCCTAGCATTTTCGAGTCCTTAAATGGCCACACTGTCAAAATAATTTTAGTCCAATCAGTTTACAATGCTCCCATCAGAGTAGCTGGTAAGTTTTTAGGAGTATTTCTCTTGATAGCAGTTATGAAGGAGGGCATGGGGAGCTAGCTGAATGAAACCAGGATCCAGAGAATCAGATACAAATCTCAAAGTAAAATTCTCACCTTGATATGTGCTTTGGCTTTGTTGAGCAAACCAAGCGTTGTGTGCCTGGTGCAGTCTGGTCCTAGTGGAATCAAAACTTTTAAGCGTTCTAAACATAGGCGCAGATGAGCTCGCCTAAGAGACAAAGAGTCAAGTCAGCACAGCCTGGATATTGCACTAGAAACGTCATAAACCCTATTTTAAGATAATAATTTGCATTTACTTGGCCTATAGCCATGTTACAGCCCTAATTCTTCGAAGTATCTGAAAGTGTAGGGGTCTCTGTTGTACCTAGTCACGTCAAATGACTCGCCCCAGTAGTAATCGGTTAGAGATGGTTTTTTAGTCCACCCTATAAATTGTTGTAAAAACACAGTAGAGCAATTATAATTGATTCTGAATGCTTAAAACCACAGGCTAGTGCAGGGATTTTCAGCACCTCAAGAAGTTATAAAATGCTCACCAAATTTCCATTTCCTCTCTTGCCTTTTAATGTTTAACTTTTTTTTTTTTTTTTTTTGGTACCAGAGATCAAACTCTGGTCCTTGTGCTTGGCAAAGCAGGCAGAGGAACCACTGAGCTAAATCTCCGGCCCTCCTACCTTTTAATGGCATGTAACACACACACAACATACCACTACCTCTCTGCAACTACAGCCATCCTACAGCATGTTATATATTTTTATTATGATATGAATTTCCTGATTTTCAAATATTTTATTTATAAAAATGGCAATTTCATGTGACGACAAAATAGAAACAACAGAATTATTTGAGTAGCCAGGATAAGGTTGGAGAAATTAATTCTAGCTACTGAAACAACCCCCATAAAAGTCTCTCTCCTGCTTCCTATCTAAATGCACTGACTCATGAACTAGTATCTCTTCCCCTCTCACACCCTCTCTCTCACTACTTGCCTCTAATTTTCTACACAAATTCTTCACTGAAAGTCACTTTATCCTCTAGTCCACCCCCTTGTGGGAAGGGACAGATTCTTCCTGGGAATTCTAGCAAAGTCTCACGGATTCGCCCTCCCTGTGATCATGGTGAGGACAGCGGGTTTCTGAGTGCATAATTTCATTCTAAACAATACTGGTCCCTGTCCTTGGTACGGTGCTTCACAAGGTATAACATGAATGCAGCAGTTACAGTATATCTGAAAAGGACAAACACAAATGTGCTCATAATATACTCCTAGCTCTTTTAAAAGATTGTAACTTAGTTACAACTGAACTTGTGGCAACTATCTCAACTGAGACATGAACAAGACACAACAACATCCATTTTCTTTCCAAAGAAGACCAGAATTATTTCACTAGCTCACTCACCAACCTTCAGTTTCTCTGTCTTAATAAACAAGAAATAATGTCAAGTGAAATTCTCAAGCACTAGCCTTTTGAAAGGTTTAGGAGAAGGCACTAAGCAGCCAGCTATTTCACTGGTTAAAAAAAAAGGATAAGTAAGTGTAGTAGTGATGTTTTGTAAAACTAAAACAATGAAAATAACAATATAATGTCTTCTCTTTAAAAATTATTCAGCTGTATATACATGAATTTTGTGTACTCAGCACTGTTCCCAGACACTTGCTTGAACAGGAAAAGTAAAAAACATTCTTTTGTTTCATTTGCTTCATACTGAAAGGAGTTGTGCAATTATCAAAGGCAACAGACTCTGAATAAAGGGAGAGTTTGTAATTAGAGGTAGACTTATAAAAGAGGTTGAAACCTGACTTTGGACTTGAAAGATACTGAATTTGTTTATGAAAAAGCAAGGATTTTCCAGGTAACTGAGAGTAAGCAGACCGAAGCTTACAGATTAGGACCAAATTTAAGCCTAAAATTAAAAATACTTTAGTTTCTTTCATTTGAGAGAGAAATGACCTGGTGCTCTATGAAGGAAATATCAGTTAAGTTCAGCAGTCTGGGGATCTTCAGTAAATTACTTAAATTTACTAGGTGATAAGTCAGAGTTACCTGCACCAAGGAAGTCAAGATTTCAATAATGCCTAAATGCAAGAAGACAGAATTCTCTCTTTAAAAATTTTTTATTACCCACTGCTGAACATTTCTTCAGTCGAGCAAATGTGCTGAGATACAGAATGCATCGAGAGGAAACAGCCTAGTTTACAAAGGCCAGTGATGCCATTCTCCAGGTTTTGTTAATGCAGTCCTAAACTGGTTCCTGTGGGAAGGCCAGGCAGTGAGTGATGTCATCTGCTCTCCTGTGAGAGAGGTGATTCTGTGGGAGCTACAACTTCCTCAGTTTTCGTACATACAGATGAAACAGGCATTTGCAACATAGAATAAAAAGTGAACAGTGGCAGATGTAAGTCAGCAGCTGACAACATTTTTCATAATCTCCTCCATTAGAAGGCCCAGTTTTCAAGTGTATTTTTATTCCACTTACAGAAGTATAGCCTTCCAAGAGCAAGCGATCTCCCTGACTATAAATTGGAAAGAGTGAAATCACATTCTATTTTTTTGTTTTTGTTTTTGTTTTTGTTTTTGTTTTTTGAGACAGGGCCTCACTATGTAGTTGAGACTGACCTGGAACTCACTATGTAGCCCAGGCTTTTCTCGAACTTACAGCGATCCTCCTGCCTCAACCTCCCAAGAGTGCTGGGATTATAGGCGTGCACCACCATGCCTGGCTTAAAATCACATTCTTCATGTGTTCTTTCTCTCCAGCAAATTTTTAGAATAAGAAATGTAGGCAAACTCTTTCCTTATATCTCTGTTGTTAACCAGACTGCAAACTTAACTAACCACTAACGACCTACACAGGGATATCTTATGATGCCATCTTCTCTTTTTTTTTTTTGGTACCAGGGATCGAACTCAGGTCCTTGTGCTTGCAAGGCAGGCAGCGGAACCACTGAGCTAAATCCCCGGCCCCATCTGCTTTTTTCTTGCCTTCATTCTCATGTGACTGGTGGCTCAGGAGCCTCTTGTATGGGGTTGCCAAGTCATGGGCTATACAACTGGAACAAGGAGAGAAGACAAGAAACATAGAAGAGAAAGGCTTGATTTGAAAATCTACTCACTGAAGGAAAAAAATACAAGTATTATACAATGATGTTTTTCAAGTCCCCAAGAAATAGGAGGAACTGACATAGAGAATAAAGATTAAAGTATGCTCTTGTACCCTGACATTGTAAACTTTGTACAACTAGACTTCATGGAAAATGATTTTTTTTTTAAATTTAAGCTTCTAGTTGGCACTTAACTTTTATTTAATGCATATGCTTGTAATCACATAGATGGCCCAATGAAAACCCTAAGCTAAATTTTCCCCTAAATTAACATGAGATAGTAAAGCAAAGTTTGGACTAGACATTCTACAAGGAGGTGAACTGTGGGAGAACTCCAGTCTCCTTGCTGAGAGAGCAAGCTAGAGAATGGAGAGATAACAGTTTTCTTTATTTTCAAAGACACTTTGAAGTCTGTTCTAAAATGAGATTGGAAAGTGGATTTTACTCGGGGGAAAGAGTAATTCCCATCTCCCAGCCCTGCTAGAGAAAAGAATCCTATTAACATTGCCCACACCTTCAAAAAGGGCAAGCCCTTTATGGGAAAAAGAACAATTAAGAGTCTGTTTGGTTTTTATTTTGGTAGATGGGATCATTTTTCTCTGAAGGAACCAATGTTGCTTTTGATTTCAAACCCTGTAAACTTTACTGCCAAAATGACACATCACAAAATATGAAGGGAAATGATTTTGCTATAAAATGGCTGTTAGAGCTGTATTTTAAAGCATACCAACTAAAAGAAGCACACTGCTGAAGAGGGAGGAAAGAATTTGCTTTCAAAAAAAAAAAAGAGGCAAGTACCATGCGCTTCTTTTCAATTCTGATGTTTTTTTTTCAAGTTGCCTCTTGGAACCCTAATCCCCTCTGCCCAACAATAAGAAATCTAACTCCTGACCAGGCCCACGAACTGTCTGTCATTGGCTGATGCCCTTGGGGGCATGGTCCTTCATCTAAACTTGGTTGCCTTTCATTCCTCCACTACAGGGACACCAAGACTTTGCCAAGCTCTGACTTTCCTGGTGGCTTGTGCTCGGATGTGCCCCTGCACATGACAGCAGCTAGCTGCCTGTCCTGCACATTCTAAATACCAAAGTTTCTCTGAAGTGTAATACGCTGAGAATCTAAAATTACCTCCAAAGATACACAGACATACACACAAAATTGCCTACTTTTCTGAAAAAATTGACATTAAAAATGGACCCAGATCAAACACACTCAGGCATTTACTAAAACATGATCATATTTTGCTGTTCGAGATACTGTATAAGAAACAAGGAAGCTAGATAAGCTATTCCAATAAAATGCTACTTGATAATTTTGTTTTGCCTACCATTTACAGATTATCTGCTTCAGAGAAAATGGACTATAAACTCAGGTAGGAGCCTGGCAGTGGCACTTGTCTAGCATCACACGTGGCTCTGGTAGTTATGGGCCTCAATGACAACAGAGATAAACACAGGAAATAACTGGGACCTCTTCTCACTTTTCAAAGTGGCCTTTATTTAATAATCCTCCAAATGGGAATATCAACAAGTGGTAAAGTTGTAAGTTATACAGTATTTCATATATAGTAAGTCCCTGACGTAGGAACACGTGCATTGCGAACTTTCACAGATACAGACTTCTCATTGCGAACATTGGTAGATGAGAACAAACTGCCAGACACCGTCACAGTCGGCTGCTGGGCACTCACTGCACAGCGCAACAGTGCACAGCAGCACAGTGCTCAGTCAGAGCTGAGGATGTCCGGAAGCAGGAGGAAGAGCACTGGTGATGTGGAGTAGTGAGCTGCTGGGAAGCGCAAAGCAGTAACCATGGAAACAAAAGTGAAATAATTGAGACTGGATCAAGGCAAAAAGATAGATGTCACTCGTTCTTATAATGAGTCGTTCAACCACTGGCACAATTCTAAAGAATAAAGACTGCAAAAGTAAAACTAGTAAAAATTATTTACAGTATTGTGGGGGGGGCTTTTTATGTTTTACATTGTGTATTTGTGGCAAAAGGTATATAAGACTCACTCTGCTAGAATTACAAATGAATCTGGCTTATGAACATTCTCCCAGAAGGGAACTCATTCAGGTTGGGGGCTTACTGTGTAATATTCT